TCAGAAGGTCATCATTACCAATGCTATTGGTTCCATCACATCTCGCGATTGCTTCCTTCTTTCAGATGCTGCAAAGTTGGCATCTGACCTTCAAATTTCCTTTTATAGTATCCCAATATTAGGCTTCAGGTCTTCCTCTAAATTGTTTCAGCCATTTGTCAAGCCTCTGCTGGATGAAAGCCTCCCAAGCTTTTGTTTCAAGGTTCTGGTTCAGGAAGGGGGCCATGACTGGTTCAGACACAACTCACCCTTTATGGGGGGATTCACAAACCCACTTGCTGTACTGCTATCTCTTGGCCACATAGTAATGCAATGGGTTTATTAATACACCAAACATTACTGTTGTGCCCGCCTGTAATCTAGTGCTACCACTATGCTCGGCTCATATACAACATAAATACAGTAATATGGGTGAACTTCATGCCAGCCAACACGAGCTCACACAATTGGCCCTTTAATAACACTTTAAATCAAGTATTCTTAAATGTATCTGTATGAAGCCGATGAGTCACATAAAACAGTAGCCTTGTAGGCATGGAGATGAGGTATTAAGAAGCGTGCTGGACAAGTGTTGCCCTGTTTAACACGCAGTAGGAGGCTTACGTGACCAATAGTATCCATAATAGAGGTGTTTGGGTTAGATGGTGTTAATATAAATGTGTCCTTAAAACCGCCACCACCTGACACAGCCAATCGGTAAGGATCGCCTCATCAGGCGACAACCAGAATTCTGGATGTTGCCTGATGAGGCTGGTTGTGATTAATGGCAAAATGTCAGACTCGATTTTTTAATATAGTGGGTATACCCTCCAAGACACCGTTGTGCTAAACGGGTAACTAATTGGCATTTTTGTTAACGTGACAAACCTTACTCATTGGCTGTGTAGGGTCGTGGCGGATTTAACGATACATTTATATTTTTACAATCTAACCCAAAGCCTTTTATTGTGGATAAGTATTGCCATCTCCACATTCTGTGGTGGAGTTGTAATGTGGGAGCAACACAGTCGACTTGGATTGTTCTGAGATGAATATATAATTCTTTATAAAAAATATATTAATTTGTCCCCATAGGTTGAAGGATTCCCATTTGAATCCAACTACAGTATTATATGACATGCGTGCGATGCGGTCTCTATATGCCTCACTCTATTACAGTTATGAGCTCTACGCTCAATGCACACAGCTGAAATTATATATTCAACCCCCCTGTGAATGATACATCCCTTCCCATTTTGCCTCCATGCTCCAAAGGGCTTGGTTGCTGAAGGCAGGGGAAAGCTCAATTGTGTACAGTTGAAGTCATTCTACATTAATTACCATTTATTTATTTTCAGTTTTTTGATCAGTCGAAAACCATCAGCCTCCATTGTTTGGATATTGATATCCAAGTTAAATACTCATCACTATACATACTGTGTTTCTCTTAAATATCTGCACAAAATGTGTCTTTAAAACTGGACGGGGATAATAAGAGGTGAGGCAGATAATTTCATAACCCACATCCGGTGAGACATTGCACACCTCTTTGATCATTTAGACAGCAACAATCAGACGTTTGTAAAAAATAAAATCAAGTTATCCTAGATATATGAGTTAGTAGTACATATTTTAATTATTTAAACCATATCAGAGCCCATTTATCGTACACAACGTGTCTCTTGCCATGAAAGCTGAAATAAAATATATTTATACTAGCAGGAAGAACCCGGCGTTGCACCGGGCAAAACATATATTTCAAAACTTCTCTTTAAAACATTGCATATACATACACAGATACTATATTGTGAAAGCCCGGTGGGCCGTTTGTCCATTTTTCTGCCAACAAAATTCTAAGAAGCTTGCAGAAGTCCAAAAAGATATAGAAAGTGGGGGATAAATAGTAGATAAAAAAGGTTTCCGAAAATTGCCGACCCCCCCCTCAAAAAATATTTTTACCTCTGCGTTTGGTATATATACTTACACACCCTACATACAACAGAGTAAGTAGTAGCTACTAACTCTATAGTAGTATCTGCTGACTCTATAGTAGTATTCACTGACTATAGTAGTAACTACTAACTCTGTAGCAGTATCTACTGACTCTATAGTACTTTCTACTGACTCTATAGCAGTAGCCACTGACCATAGTAGTATCTACTTACTGTATAGGAGTATCTACTGACTGTAGCAGTATTTACTGACCGTAGTGGGATATACTGACTGTTTTAGTATCTACTAACTCTATAGTAGTATCTACGAACTCAATAGCAGTATCTACTATCAGTACAAAAGTGCATACCGACTGTGGTGGCACCTGCTATGACTACAGCAGTACATACCGACCTTAGTGGTACCTGCTTTCACAACAGCAGTGCATACTGACTGTGGTGGTTACCTGCTTTAACTACAGCAGTGCATACCGACTGTGGTGGTTCCTTCTATCACTACAGCAGTTCATACTGACTGTGGTGGTACCTGCTTTAACTACAGCAGTGCATACTGACTGGTGGTAACTGCTTTAACTATAGCATTGCATACCGACTTTGGTGGTTACCTGCTTTCACTACAGCAGTGCATGCTGACTCGATAGCAATATATATCGACTCGATAGCACAAACTACCAATTTGACAGAGTGCCGTCCTGAGGCCTAGTCCCGTGCAGAGCCCCCGGCCTCGCCTAGATTGCCCAACTGGCCGAGGTGGCACCTTGGCAGGCTGGGGCTGGGCAGGTACCCTCGCCCTCCCCCACCATCCCCCTGCCCGCTCTAAATAATAGTATCTAAGTGCTATAATATTAGAATCAGCCAACCCCTTCAGTAGTAAGTGCACACATTGGGGTGGGGGGGGGGGGAGAAGAGGACATGACACTTTGAATAATTTACCTAAGCGTTGTATGTATATTTTTTGCATTTTTTACGCGAAAGAAAATGTTTGCCCCCCTCCCAGTGAACGCATGTGCAGCTTTGTCGTGCATGCACAAACGCATGCTTTGGCGCGTGCTCAGCGGCATAAGAAAATAAATAAATAATGAATAGTACTAAATGCTTAAGTAAACTACAGTAAAACCTTGGATTGCTTGCATAATTCGTTCCAGAAACGTGTTTGTAATCCAAAGCACTCGTATATCAGTTGTGATCACGTGATGCACGGCAGACAAAGCGTATGCACGTACTACTCATATTGCAAGATCTCGCTCGTTAATCTAATTAATATTTATTTTAAAAATTTGCTCGTCTTGCAAAACACTCGCAGACCAAGTGACTCGCAATAAAAGCTTTTACTGTACTTTAAAGTTGACGGATGCGAAATCGGAATAGCGCTGGGCTTATGGTGTGGTACCCGGGTACTTTTTTAAACCTAAACCCCACGGTTCATGAGCCAAATCTTCACAAGTTTCGTTCACACACAGACACACAGACAGACAAAAAAGGCCTTTCATAGGTAAGATAACAAAGACAAAGATCCCTCGCATAGCCTTAACAGACTGTCGGGGCAATTGCTGTTTAACGACCACCTTTGAAGGCCAGCACGGCACATGAGGGAGTGGGTGGTTAGCACCACTCCTGGCCGCCTTTGTCTTTCCAGTAAGGATGTTTACAACTCGCACCAGGTACTGTACTCATTTGAGGCTGTGTCGAACTAGGGGAGGCCCAGGACCGGTTCAGATAATCGTCACTGGTGTTGGCCGTGAGTGGGAATCAAACTCGGATGGCTAGGTTTGGAGCGCAGAGCACTAACCGCTACACTACCGATCTTCACAACATGTATATACACACAATAAGAGTTAATGAGCAAATAAATGTGCATTTATGTATATAGAAATTGATAGAAGATTTTGAAGAAAAAAATAAAATCATCCAAAATAATGAGTATTAATGTTATTAGATTATTGAGAAAAGTCTCACTTTTGACACTTTTCAGGAGGACCCTGCATCAACTGAACACCTGTGAAAACTACTGGACATCTGTGAAAAGGAGCTTAATAGCTCATCGGATTCCTCAAGTATAAAATTAAGATTCTGATTCTGAAAAAAAGTATACTTCGCTCATTTATTTTTTTAATCAGTGTTTTGCACGTCTGAGCAAACCAGATTTCCTGGAGAAGACCCAGGAGCCTCTCTGATATGTTCACGTTCAAAAGTCTTGCGCAGGTGGGCAGGTTACAACATCACCCTGGTGCACTATACACAAGCAGCGGAATGAAGTATGACAGTTTAAACAAAAAAATCAGCATGACAATGTTTTAGTTTAAAATATAGCGTCATCGTCATTCATGCAAATGTCATCTCACAATCGCTGAATAACTACAGATAAGCTGTAAGGCAGCCATGTGGTGAACCAGTGCCAACAATTACTCCAAGTTCTGCAGTCCTCTCTATTAAAAGATGTTTTCACACAATTATGGAGTATGAATACATGATCCACCAACACTTGCTGCGAAAAAGGACCATGATCTGAAAACATCGCTGATTATATATTTTTACTTTAAGGCCACAGGGTTTCTGACTAATGTGTTTAGTTGTTTTTGACATTCTTGCTTTCAAAGCACTGAATGACAAGTGCATGTCACAATGGGTGGCTCTTGGCATGCTTGCATGCAGAAGCTGGAATGTAATTGTTTTCATACCAGCTCCCTGGCATTGGGACAGAGTCCTCAACTCAAAAATGGACAATTGCGGGTTCAATCACCAGCATCAATTTAACGTCAATAAACCATAATGAGTACAGTACCACTTTGTGGGAAAATCAAAAGTGGTTGTCATATGGAAACAAAACCGACTCTAGCCATTACAATGTGATGTGTTGAGTGCTTTCTTATGGCCACCAATGGGGTTCAGCACTGCACCACATGTAAGCAGTGAGATACTTTGACATTGTAAAATTTTGACTCTTAGAAAGAAAAAGCCAACGACCTACAAAATGTGATAACATAGGTTCGTATATAATGACTACAGTAAGATAATCGGTGTCTATGTTGAAAGGGATTGTTCCGTAAAATATACATATTGAATACATACAGTGGCATGCTTCCGTTGCTCCCATAATTGTTGATGTCAACCAACGCTGTTATTCCGCATACCAGGATGGGAATGCCTCCTCCAATTAGGTAGAATCTGTGGATAGACAAAAACAGCAAAATGAACACCCAGTAAATGTAGGTTCAAAGGTCAACCTATATCAAGTAATGATTAGCCACTTGACACAAAAAAATAATTTCATATTTAAGACATACCAGCAGATTAGACTAAACAGTACCATACTCCTATATTCTGGCTACTTTAGATGTCGTACTAAATATGCTTTTACACTGGCCTTCTACATTTTGCTCAGTATAAACCAATATGTATTCCGAAGTAGCTTTAAGAAGCTGTCTGGAAGATCGCTGAAGATGGCTCTGGGCTATGGAATAGTTAATCAAAGTGGAAGGCACACCCAAGGCAGTCAAGATGAAAGCATTCAAGGGGCGATGGCTTCTTTGTGAAGGTCTTATATGTTTTTCCACAATGGAGGCAATTTTACATCTGATATACAGGAGTGGTACAATTAAGGATTCTCCATTTACAATTAACTTTGCTCATTGACAAAAAAAATTGGTGCACGATGGATTACGTATGAATCACTATACATTTTATACGTTTAATGTCGCCCTAACAAATGAAGTCCCTCAAGCTAACGGGAAATGTGATGGTTATAGCACAGGTATTAGTCACACGGTGTGATATCAGAGAATAACTCTAATGTTAACCTCGTACAAAATTACACTTCCCCGGATTTAATTTTTTTATCCCTCATACATCCCAGTCATTTATTCATATATTATGGATTAATTGTTAAGTCCTCCAATGTTTTGGATTTAGACGTGAATGGTTGGCATCACAAAATAACTTGTAAAGAACATGATAATTCACACCGAATACTCACAAAGAGGCATAAAAACTGGTGTTTTAGATGAATTTCCAACAGACACAGCATTTTCTTTGGGTCTTTCAATAAAGCCACGTAGATATAAAAAATAATAAAATAATATCACAACGTTTCGATCGCAACACTGTTTATAAAGGTTTAGAGATGGGCGGGGCAGCTAATGTTAATGTCGGAGAGGTCTCCGTAACTGGCAGGAGGTCTACCCCAATCAAAGAGCTGTTTACAAAGGTTTAGAGATGCTTGTAAATACTCTTCGGTTATTTCGGTAAAGTCACGTGAATTTGCCGAATGAACCAAAGAGTATGGATTCATGCAGTCACGAAAGCTTCAAATCAAGAATGCTTGTAAATGTAAGCTCGGAGAAAGCGAGGAAAGAGCCATTGCCACATGGAGGTGCAAAATGATGGCAAGCCGCCATTTACTAACACAGCTAACGATGGCTGTGTTAGTGAATGTAACTCAGAAACGAAGCTGTGGGGGTGGCCATTGTATTGTGAGAGATTAGCATGTCAATGTAAGAAATTTACTTGGAAATGTAAGCTCAGAGAGAGCTCGGAAAGAGCCATCGCCACATGGCGGTGGAAAGGATGACGATTGCTTGTGTTGCGATCGAAACGTCATGATATTTATTATTTTTATTATGTTTTCTTCTATCTATGTGGCTTTAACGAAAGACCCAAAGAATATGAATTACTGCAGTCACGAAAGCTTTAAGTCATAGACACAGCATTTATTGTCGGTTTGATGTCACAAAGATTACACAGTAAATGACTGCTAGAACACCATCAAATAGAGTAATGGAAACAATACTAGATGTGTATCTGTACGGTACGGTGCTAAAAAACATATACCCTTTGTACGTGGATATCATTACAACTTTATAATGTATTTATACTTAATAGTTAAATAGAAACGCACTCCTGGAAATACGTATACAGCAATTAGCTCACGTTGCTCATGTAGGGATTGAAACATGAAGCGCATAAATAAGGGCAGTGGTGAAAATTGCATCTTGGAAAAAAAAATTCTAATGAGCTATTAAAGTATAGATACGACCAAACATTAGTGTGCACAAATGTATACTTCACAGATGGCTTCCCTTACATGTTATTACAGAGGTGACTGACTTATAATTATGCCTCGAGTAATTTAAAACAACCAAATTAAAATTGCAACTTATACTTGGTTAATTTCATAGCCAAAATCTATACACTGCTAGATGAAAGCCTACCCAATCCATTTCCATCTCCAGCGGCCTCGTGATGTCACAATCCATCCACTCCATCTGCCCGGTGGACATACTCTTGGGTGTTCCCTCCTTTGGCTTTGCCATGCCATCGCCAGTCTCAACCACTTGCCATCATGCGTTGCAGTGGTCTGTATTGTCCAAACTCACTGTTGTTTACATATGGTTGTGTAGGTAAGTATTGATAATTAATTAATGGGGCACCATGGTGGCGAGATGTTAACTACCTCGCCTGGTATATAGGTCGTCGTGGGTTCGATCCCGATCCTCACGCCAGTATATTTGGAGCTTGCATGATCTCCCCGTGTCCGCGTGGATTTTACATTTAAAAACATGCGTTTAGATTATTTGCGGCTATAAACTTCCACATGATAAACAAATTCGTTGAGCTATCATTTGTGGCCAGGTCACTTCTGAAAAAACTCTATGGCTCACTGGGCCTTACCTGGTAAAAAGAAAAATTTGTAAAAAATAGTTAAAATATTTAGTAGCATTCATAAGACCTTATCTTTTCCCAAGTTCGCATATCTCACTGGTAGGAAAAAGACTCGTGATTAAGTACCCACACAGAACACTCAGACCATGCAAAGAGAGCCTGTCCGACCAACGCAAAAGACTGAAATCCACACACAATGGAAACAAGATTTGTTTTTTTTATTCTTCAGTGCGATTTATTGAGATGAAAGGTGTGATATTAGACGATGCTGTGACTGTGACGTGCACCTGACACCAGCGAACGTGGTGAGATATCGTCTCTTTCTTTCAAGACGTGAAAACCTTCGGCCGTCCAAGCAAGATATATCTTAGTGTGCCAACAGTCTCTCTCTGTGCTGCATGAAGACAACACCACCCGATGAGGCTGTGATAAGCCATCTTGGTAGCTGTCTGTGCTGATGGTGTGGCATCACACATCTCTGAGGGTGATAATGGCCTCATGATGTAATGATAATATTCAATTGTAACAGCGAACAATATTCGTTTACCCTCTCAGACAGAGAGAGAGAGAATGATTCAGAGGCACGAGAAACCACAGGTAAGTGGGAAGGCAGGAAGAACCAGTGGCAACAATTGCCCAAGCTTTGCGGTCCTATATTGAGATGCTTGGCCAACTTCATGAATGTTAATACATGTGGTAGGAAACCGGACTACCCAAAGAAAACCCATGCATTCGAGGGGGGGGGGGGTAACCTTTACAGATTGATTACAGATGGAAATTAAGCCACGAGTATTACTGCCATACTCTGGCAAGCCAGGAGATGGCAACCTCGATGCACCCAGGTACTGAACAGAGTTCACAAATTGCTGTGATCCTCTAACCCTTGCAACCGCAGAGCTGGATTAAAGGCATGCAGAGCCGCCAGCGCCTGGCTGATGATGCTGCTGTGGCGGACTCATAAACACTAACAACATAATCATTGACGTAGATATTTTACACGCTTTTATTTAACTCACTCTGTCTGTTGTTGTTCTTGTTGTCGTTGTTGTTGTATCTTCAAATCTTGTAACTCAATTTTTACCCACTTCCCAATGTGGTATCGACTGAAAACTTGGTATACTTATGTCATACTGATGACAAAACTATATTCTATCATAAAAAATAAAAAAAAACATTTAAAACAAATATTTGTATATGTTATGTTTCGGCTTGGGTCTAATTGTCCACGCTCAACTGACGTTGGCTGTAATTGCCTATGGCCCCTTACGTTATGGCAAGCTTCGGGGCCACTTCCTGGAGTTGTGGAGTTCTTACATTACTAGTACGGTACATTTCATTAAAGCGTGTTTTTAAAAACGTTTTTAAAATATTACTTATTTTGTGTAACATTTTCACTGCTGAAAAATTCACTAGGTGCGTGATTTGCATTTCACGTGTCGATACACGCAATATTTTTAAGGCTGAGTTGACCTAGGTGTAGTCCAGACTCATTTTGAGCCGCCTTAAATGTTCAGGAGTTGATCCTTGCATTGCCAGAATATATGAACAACTATGTCATCACTCCAGTATGAGCACAAAAACCCCCTGGATGTTGGGGCAAGTCCTGTGAATGAAAAGCTTTTAAAAATGTGGGAAACCTCCTATAAGACACACCCAGCGTGACACAGAAAATGATGAATTGATGACGTCACCAAGCCGCACCCACAACCTCCCATCCAGTGGCACACATGGGAACACAGGTACTTTTCCCCTCAAATATGTGTTTGCTATCCGATGTGTCAATTAATCGAACCGATAACCAGCAGAGTAATCAATTTCTCAGATATTTCAGATCTGGTTGAAAGCAAAGTCGCTCTCGGAATTGAAATGATATTTTTCAGTCCGATTCTCAAAAACAACTCTGTAGATGGTAAGGTACGAACTGATCCTTCTCTGGGCAATCAGCCATAGCGAACACAAATTGGGACATGTCCTTGCAATCTTCGAATAGGCTATACGCTTGTCCCATTGGGACAGAGCACGGCATTCAGCACAAAGCTAATGCGTAATGTCCAATGCTTGGGTACTACACCGAAAGAGCACTGTGTGCCACCATATATTGAGCATTACCTATGAATGGGGAACATTGATGTGACACAGGGAGCACACGGTGGTGGTTTCATACCAGGATGCACACTGCTCTTGGAAAGCCGGTTGGTACCTAAATGTATAACATCACGAATCACTACTGCACAAGACTAATAATTGAATACAGTATTTAAAACGTACTGGGGTTTGCATTACCCTCCCTGCACAGGGGATTATTGTGTCCGTCCGTCCGTCGTGCATCCAAAAATGGGAGGGGTCGGGCTGGGTGGAGAGGGGAGGGTAGGAAGGGGCTGGGTGGGGGGTAGGGCTGGGTGGGGAGGGGCTGGTCACCCCGTGGTGCCCTTATAAAACTCAACGTTTAACCTACTCACGCCGGCTTGTGCCAGCCCTCACAGTCGGCCATATTTGCGGAATACACC